AAAATGTATAAATCTTTAAAAATAAAACATATATCAATATTTACAATTTTTTATATTTAGTACAAATAATTAATAATTTCACACTGCAACAGCCGCAATCCGCATCACAATACTCGCAATACCCGTAACCACAGCAGTAACTACAACCGCGACCACAACCGCAATTTGAAACCATGGTCTTGGGTGCCGATTCAACCCATTTGACCAGTCAGTTCAGTCTGAGCTTCATAGCACTGATTATTATTACTATAATTTTCATTGATCCTACAAAATATTACTTGACCAAGCTAATTATGATCATTCTAAAGACTCTACGAGTAAGCCTATCCTAAGCCCACATAAGTCAAGCTTTAGCCGACAAACATATGGCTTTATTTCTTCCAAGGTATTATCATAACACCATCATATTTTATTTTATTTTCTAGTTACCCGTTTGCATAGTTCTAACTCCTAGCTATATTTTTTAGGTCATATGCTTAGTTCCAACAAACTTCTCTAAGTGAAACATGTGGACACCATTATAAAGCCTCTTATATCATCAACTGATTAATTGTTTAGACCCCTCACTTGTACCCCTAAACAAAGGACTACTTTGGCCACCTAAGCCTCCAAAGCAACTCACAAACTCCATAAGGGTGGCTCTAAGACTTTTGGTACGGTAATCATGTTTCTCTCCAACACCCCCTCTTGTGCCTTGAAAGCCTTTTTGCCTTCTTAATAACATTAGTGACATAACTAACTAATGTTTCTTTCTTCAAGCCGAGAAAAAGAAGAAGAAGAAAGAAAAAAAGGAAAAAGTGATTCCAACCATTCCCGATTCATGGCTATCATGTCACTCTCGCAATACTATCGCTAGTAGTCATGTGAGACCTGTGACTACCCATATCAAGGAAACTTCAAGGGATTATTTTAAATGGTGATATCATCAAAGACATAGAGATCGTCTTTTAGTTTTCCTTCCAAGAGGACTTTCCTAGTTTCCTAGGATTTAACGAGATATATATCAACATGAAATTCAAATGAAAAACTGAAATACACCAAAAAAAAAATTCAAATTGTTAATAGCATTGCAAAAGATTAGACAAAGCCAATGGCTTAAAGACATTCTTCAGAGAAAGAAAGAAGGATTTACCAATGTGTCTTATATTGGTGGCTAATACAATAGCTACTTTGATCTTATTGCCACAAATATATAAAGCCTTTACCATAGGGTTTGAAGAATCTAGTTACATGAATGGTGGCAACTGAATTTGGATACCAAGAAGCGTCATAAAGGATTTCTTGTATAACCAACATTATTATACTTGCATCATTAATGCTCCCTAATACAATGATCATAATTGTACTTTCAACAATCTTGTCATTTTTATTTCATAAAATAGGAACATCTTGATAATAGGGATCAAACATCTGATAACAATTCAAAACATTGTGGCCAAATTTGTCACGCACTCAACACTGTGATCTATTAACATCTTGCCTACCACCTTGATTGTTATATTTTACTGCATCTTTGATTTGTGTATTGAAATTTGCCTCCTCTACAGTTGGACCTTCCTCTACCTCAATAAGCTAATAACTTTGGATGAAATTTGCTTGCATATTTTGCTTGAAGCCATTAGACTCTTCTTTCTATCTTTTTGGACAACTTCTTGAGCAATCAACAAAGCCTTCATTTCATGAACAAAGTAGGGTTGGATTCTTAACATAATAGATGTTACAAATGGATTATATTTGGAGAGCAATCCATTTACAATTGCCTCAATATGATCCTCAACATTGACGGGAGAATATAGAACTAGAGTATCTACAAATAGACAACAACTCATTCACAGAACCCTTTTTTTTTTTTTACACTTTTTAATTGCATCTTCAATTGATTAGGCTCTGAAAAAAGAATTCAAATTTCTTCCAAATTTCAAAAGAACACTCCCATCAAACCATTTTTGTATGAAGGTTCTCGAACATGGAGGCTAAGAGCCAAGAATCTAGAAGTTGATCTTGTTCCCAATTTGGGCATTCTTCATTGACTTTTTCGTTGGCTCAATCTTCTTCATTCAAGTACTGAGTAAATTATCCTCCAGACTCTTCAATATGCTTAAGGTGTTTGTGGCACCTCTTGTTTCCATTGTAGAGAAGATTCTACATTCAACTTGATTGCTACATGATTTGTGAAAGTTTGTTTTACAAAGTGAGACCTAAGAGCTTCACCCACTTCTGCAATAAAGCTCTGATATACATGCAGTATGTGAGAGAGGAGAGAAAGCACTCGAAGAGGGATTACAAAAGAGGTATTATATATCAGAGATAAAAATAAGAATATATTGAGAAATAGCAGCCGTGCTAACGAACAATTAACAACTTTAACTACATTTAATCTAATTATTCCCTTCAAATCCATCCAGCTTTTAACATTATGTATTACTGTACCTAATATTGGGTTGTACAATGTCGTGAAATTTGAAGCGAATAAAGGAACCTTTTTCGATTAGAATTAGTGGCAATAAGCATTTGGATTCTCCCGCTTAGGTAGAAGAGTCGAGGGATTAAATTATAAACTAAGGAGCTTGTATTGTATTGATACCATACAGCCACGCTCAAATTGCACAAATATGGCAAATAAATAAACGAAAGAATATAGAATGGGGCTTTAAAAAAGGCCCAATTCGTGCCTAATTGGAGCTAGTTCTTTCAGCTCCACTAGTATAAACCAAATAAAAAAAATTAAAAAAAAAAAAAAAAAAAAAAGTTGAGCTAGTATTGTAATGCAATTGTTTGACAGAAGATACATCTTCAAAACAGCTACTCCTGATTCGGAATGTTTTTGAATTCCCCCAAAAAAAAAAAAAAAAAAAAAAAAAAAAAAAAAAAAAAAAAAAAAAAGTTGAGCTAGTATTGTAATGCAATTGTTTGACAGAAGATACATCTTCAAAACAGCTACTCCTGATTCTTTTCCACCTCATTTTGGTGGATGTTAATTGGAATACAATCCGTTTACATCAAGATACGTAAAACAGCAAGACCAACCGCAGAGATTGAAACAAGTGTTCCTATGCAGTATTTTATGACATCATATTTGGCTGCTTCCAGCTGTGCTCTTAAAGAATGAATTTCCTGAATGTGAATTATATAGCAAAGTGTTTTCAAAATGTAAATTGCCAATTTGTCAAGGAATGAAAATAACTTCTAAATGTCTCATAATTGCTTACTCTATCAAGTTTGTTTGTCAGGTTGTTAGTTTCAGCATTTTGATCAGACAATTCCTCCCTTATTCTCCTGTATTTTTAATATAACTTGTAAGCAGTAACAGATAAAAAGGGGATTTCAATCTAACAAAAGTTCTCTAATCTTTGACAATCAACATGTTTATTCTTAACTCTTACCCCCTTTCGAGGTTCAAATCTAATCGCTGCCCAGCAGTGACTTTGTCTATCTCATACCTGCATTACAAACCATGTGATTGCACCAAAAAAAAAATCACAAAAACAAATGAATACAACTGTAGTAGTTGATCAAGGCCAATTGCTAAAATTGATGAAGCATACCTCAATTCACTACGCATCTTATCTATATCATTCCTAAGCTTCTCAGTCTCATGTTGTAAGAGAGAAAAATGGTGACCCTGAATTGTAAGTTTTTCAGCATATTACACCACCAGGCAAATAAACCCAACCTCATCAACATCAAAATAACAAACACATTGAGGTAAATAAAATTACAAGGATAAAGAAAAAGTGAAAATAAGACCAAGAAAAAAAAAATCCCAATGTAAGATGGATTCCCTCCCAGCATAAATGTCTCAACAATAAACATAATGCAACAGAATCAACCATACTATGTATGTATTTGCCACCACATGAATTATGATTCAACCATTTAAATTACTCTCCTAAACAATTGTTTCAACGGAAGAGCAAAAGTCGTTCTCCACATATCCATTAAGTATCAACAAATATCACAATATAAGGTGCAGTAGTTGGACCGGTCCATTTGGAAAAAAACCAGGGGTCATTTACATTTAGTTTGAAAAATCATTTTTTATTTTCATTTCTTGTTTTTTTTTTCTGAAAATAGTTTTCATTTTCAAATTTTCTAGAAAATGTCTCATTTAAAATCCCATTTTTTGTTTTCAACAGTTTTTGGAAGCCAATAAAAGAGAAATGAGACTTCAAACTTAGCATAGAGCATTGGAAAAAAAGGTAATTGAGCATTTTGAAGAACCCTCTTCATTTTATTGTCTGAGCCATCTTCAAAGCCATGACAACTTTGTCCACCAACTTCATGGGTACAAGCAGTCTTCTTCGTAGTTGTAGAACTTGTTGTTGGTGTTGCAAAGGTGGCATAGGAAGAAAAGGGTGACTGAGCATTTTGAGGAACTTTCTCTTAGTTTTCAGTTCTCTGCGCCTTCTTGACAACTTTGTCCACCACCTTCATGTTTACAAGCAGCACGGGACTTGTTTGTAGTTGTAAAACTTGTTGGAGTTGCAAAGGTGGCAGCGGGTAGACAGCACTAATGTTGCTACGGCGAAGGAAGTGGAAGTCACCAAAGGTGAGGGTGGCAGGCAAAGTCAGAAGAGAAGTGAGATTTGATGGAGAGACTTCTGGCAAAGACAAGGACAATATGGAAGGAAAGATGGCAGAAGCTGCGCTGTAAATGCTTTCTAAAATTGAAGCCCATGAAAACTTAGAAAATTGACAAGATTGCAAGTGCTAATTTTGCTGCGATGAAGGAGGTGGAAGTCACGAAAGGTGGGGTTGGCAAGCGAAGTCAGAAGAGCAGTAAGATTTGATGGAGAGACTATCTCGCAAAGACAAGGACGAGATTGAAGGAAAGATGGCAGAAACTGTAGTGCAAATGCTTTCTAAAATTGGCGCCTATAAAAACTTAGAAAATGGTGTTTTATTGTTTTCAATTTTGGGTTGAGTTTTGAAAAATTTTTCTAAAATCCAATCCAATCAAACATGTTTTCAATACCATTTACTATTTTTTATGAAAATGCAAATAGAAAATGCCTAGGCCAAATGGATAACATTTTCTCAAACCAAATGACTCCTAAACTAATCTTATGCTTTCGCATTATTAAACGAGATAAACCTTGAGGAGGACGACAATAATATCCTCAAGACATCCCACCTAAACACATGAATAATTTTAAGATAACACAGCTCAATTAGTTTAAAGATCTTCAAATATATAGGTTAACCAGGAGTTAATAAATTTAGCTTAACCAAATGCAGTCCAATAAACCAACCGTCTAAACATCAGAACTAACCATTTTAATAACTGATAAATAATTAGTATTTATCTTTTTTTCTTTCTCTAAATTAGAATCTGTTTACTTTCTACCTAAGCTTTTTTACACTATCTGATTTTACAAAGATCATATGTCAAGCGTCTCCACAGAGACTTGAACATGTCATTGACTCTCTTGTACATCATAAAGTTAAGAATTAAAATAAATATAACATAATTATGAAATGCAACGACAACAAAAGATAAAGAGTAAGCGCAGAGCAATCTATCAGAGCATAAGTTTCAACTAAATACCAAAATTGAATTTTTCAAGAAACCCAATATAATGAATCATTCATCATGATCATAGTCACACCAATTTCAAAAGGGACCAAAGTTCATTCATTATGTTATGGATGCTAGAGACAACTGAGAAGATCATCTACAATAGCAGCAGTGAGTGGAAAGAAAATAAAAGAAATAAAAGTGCCAGCCTTAGAAAAATGGAGAAGAACAGTGAAGGAACTACGTGATCAACTTAAACAACTTATTGTCTTCATTCTAATTACTTTCAGAGAGAGCATGATCAAATAATTCCATTAACGTGATTCATTTCTGTACTAGAACACAGACACAACGGGCACCTTGCATTTACCTAATATTGGAGAAGCATGATGGCACATATTCAATACAACGTTTCATCAATAATTAAATGGAAAAAGTATTTTTCGTCCTGAATAACTGTAGTTCATGGAAGTCATATTTATGACAGTAAAATAAGATGTCTGGTGCCTGCAATGAATATAATGTAAGCAACACACAGATCCTTCGTTCAGCCCTATCATGTTCACTAGCAGTACCAGCACTAAGACATCCACATTGACCAAAACCCTAAACCTCAAACTTAACACATAACATCCACATAATTGAGAAATACCTGTGAGCTCTGAACCTCTGCTTTAAACTTGGACAGGTTGGCTTCTTGGAGCATTTCAGTCTCAACAAGAAAAAAATAACCAAAACAGCTTCTATTAGTGCAAACCATGCAACATTCCAAAACTAACAAAACTGAAAAGGGACAATCCAAAAACAAATCTCAAATCCAAAGAACAACAAAAACAAAGATTGCATTTGGCACCAAAGGAAAGTCTTACTTTCTGCATTTCTCCTTTTGACACTAACGACTGAGACACATTCTCGAGACTGTCATTCAACACTTCAGTTATGGCAGCGGTTATTGCCTCAGCATGCTTTGAGGGCACTCCTTCCCCCTCGAGTCTCCTAACCTACAAGCCAAAAAACAAAGCCAATATTCAATTAAAGCAAAAAAAATATACAAAAAAATAAAAATAAACACGAAACTGAAAAAGGAAAGAGACGCGTGCGAGAATTATTACAAGGGCCAAGGTATCGACGAGAAACAAGTGCTTTCCGTTGGCTTTGACCAATTGAGAAACATTTCGTGTGCCCAAAAGAGGGAATGGATCAAAGATTGGTCTTTGGAACGAAGACGATAGTTTTGAATTGGAAGCCCCAAAAGCACCGAACCCCGATAACTGCCATACCCGCCTACGAACCGCGGCCATTTGCGATTGTGGGAACAAACCCCAAAAAAAACTCGCACAACACAACAATTATTCAGCCTTCAAATCGAAATCGGAAACCTTGGCACCAAGTCAACTACAAATAGGGAACCAGAGATTGATTTATTACAACATGCGCACAAAGAGTTTGTCGAAATCGAAATCGAAATCAAAATCAAAATCCCAATCTCACGTGTCGTGTTTTTTTTACCCTTGCTCTCGGTAACCAAATGGGACATGGGAATGAAAAAGAAAATAAATAAATAATAATAATAATAATAATAATTAAAAGAAAAAGAGAAAGTGAGTAATATAGATATAGTATTGGTTGGCCTTGGGAAGTGTGAAATGGAGGGTTACCTTTGACCAATGGCGAATTGGGGAATAGGAAAGATGAAAGAACCTCACGTTGTTGGTGTGACGAAGGAGTAAATCAGAGGCATAGCAGGAAAGAGGGTGCTATGCTAATGCTATTCTCTTTGCCGTTGGCGATCCCTTACTTGCACTTCAAAAACTGTACTACTCACGACAAATACTAAATTCACGTCATCTATTGTTTCCCAAAAAATGCGCTTATATTTCCGTCTAATAAGTAAAAAAAAATAAAAAATAAAAAAGACTAAAAACATATTTTAGTCTCTTATAATAATTGTTTGTTTCAATTTAATTTTATTTTTATTTTTAATCTCAATTTGGTCCCTAATAAATTAATTGGTTACAATATCGAACTTTCGTCTAAATTATTTAAACGAAGTTAACTGTTGATCACGTGGATGTCACGTAGATGAATAGGTGGATGCCACGTAGATGATGCCAAACTTCTTGAAGGCACCTGAAACCAGAACGGTCCGTTCTGAGTTCAGAACAACCCGTTCCAGAACTATAATAATTTTGAAAATATTTTTTTATGGTAAAAATTTTAAAATTACTTATTTTTAAAATTCAATTGTCTTATAAATAGAGTGATAACTTTTCCTTTTTCTCTTTCTGTTTGAAGAAATATTTAAGTGTCACTTAATAATTTTTTGCAACTTATTTAAAATTAGAGGAATAAAATGATAAAAATTAATAGGATAAACATAATAAAATTATTAATTTATTTTCTTTTAGTCTCCTCTAAATTTTTACAATCATTTAAAACAAAAATATGTTATATGTTATTTTGAATTAATTTAACGAAGTATTATATGATTTTTAGTTTTTTAAAAAATTTTATAAATTTGATCTATACATGAAAAGTTTTTTAACTTAACAATTAAATTTTTAAAAATTTGATATAGAACATTAATTATTAAGTAGAATAAATCTATCAAGACTTACTCTTAAAGTAAGTAAATTTTTTCTTCATTAAAAATGAAGATAATTTTACCACAAAATAAAAAACAATTAAACAATAAAATAAAATATAAAAAAATATTAATATATTTATTATATTAGATATAACAATATAATTAAAATATAATTAATAATATATATTTTATAAAATTATTAATATTTTATATATAAAAAAAATGAAAAAAAATTTAGTGGGGGCAAGTGCCCCCACTATGATTAACTTAGATCCGTCCCTGCATGTGGTTGTGTGGTGAAATGTTAGTCTTGTGTATCCTCTTCCTTTACTTCAGGTTCTACCTCTTCAAGAACAGGTTCTACCTCTTCAAGAACAGGTTGTTGTTGTTGGGGTACATCGTTAATGACTTCAAGGAAAAATACCATGTCATTTCATCCTTTATTGTATAGTGTCAACTTGGTAGTAAGTGGTTCACTCCAGTTTGACTAATAATGAAATAAAATCTACTACCATTGTCTTTAGTGATATGCTGCATTGTCCTTAATGATACACTGTATAGCCCAACTGTTTAGGTTTTGAAGTTATCAATTTCTATTGACAATATTACCAAATCCAGTGTTTGAAATGCTTTGTACCTTGGGTCTTTTTCCTTCCACAATTCACAACCGTGTACTATAATCATTAACCGCTTGTGTTTAGCAGTCTGGAACCAGAACAGCCCGTTCTGAAACCAGAACGGCCCGTTCTGGTTTCACTTTTAGTGTGTTAATTTTGCCCCTAAAACGGGTCATTCCGGATGCAAAATTAACACATCAAGAGTGCACCTAGAACGGCCCGTTCTGGTTTCAGAACGGGCCGTTTTGGTTCCAGGTGTTTTCAAAAAATTTAGTGTCCACGTGGCATCCACCTATGCATCTACGTGGCATCCACGTGGCCAACAATTAACTTTGTTTAAATAATTTGGACGGAAGTTCGACATTGCAATCAATTAATTTATTAAGGATCAAATTGAGACCAAAAATAAAAGTGGGACTAAATTAAAACAAACAATTATTATAAAGGACTAAAATACTATTTTAGCCAATAAAAAATAATAATTAAATCTTTATAATTTAAAATAATTTTTTTTATTCCTATATCTCTATAATTTAAAGTAGATTTTTTTTTTAAATTTTATAATTATTTTAATCTGAAATGTTAATTTATTTTTGTAATATTGTCCGTTTTTTATTAATGTAATAGAAGTTTTTACTTTTTTAGTTTTGTAGGGGTAAAAAATAGTGTCTCGAGTGAATGTTACAAGTGAGAATATAAAAAGAACATAGAGTGTAAGACTTATTTTTGCATAACTTCGATAAAATAAATTCTACATACAAAAAATTAAATTAATATTTATATCAAACCAACACAAAAGAAATAATCTTAAAAATAACAATAGAAACTAAAAGGATTAAAAAATTTTAAGTATAAAGACTAAAATCTTTTATTTTAAATTATAAAACTAAAAATGATTAAAAAAATATAAATATTAAAACTAAAAGATTTTTTTTACATTATAGAAACTAAACAGTAAAATAAGTGAATATTATAAAGACTAAAAAATTATTTTTTTTAAAATACTTAAAATTTTTTAACTTAAATATAAATAAATTCTACTTAACTTCCCTTTATTTAATGCTATTGTTCTAAAAGTTACTCTTAAATTAAATGTTATTACTATTTTTAATAAATATTATTAAGAATAGTTTAGAAAGTAAAATTTACTTCTAATGTTTTTTATTATAAGGGGAAAATATTCTTTTCTATTTAATATAAATAAACTTCAACTATTTTATCTTCTTTAATAATATTTTTTTTCTCTAAAATATCTCTTTTTTAATGTACAGTTAGTTACATTACTTCATTTGATAATTATTACAATTATAATTTAAGAAAAATATTATAAAACTAATAAAATTTAATACTTACCTATGATACATAATCGATGAGGATTAAAGCAGGGGGATCCGTTGGCACCATCTTTGTTCTTAATTGCTGCGGAAGGCCTCAGACTATTGATGAGTAGGGCTTCAGAAATGAATTTGTTTAAGGGTTTACACATAGGCGATGAAGGTCCTCCGGTTTCTCTTTTACAGTTTGCGGATGATACTCTGATTATTGGAGAAGCTACTATGCAGAATCTGTGGTGCTTAAAAGCAATCTTGCGTGGTTTCGAATTAATTTCAGGCATGAAAATTAATTTCCATAAGAGCTGCGTGGTCGGTATTCATTCTGGGGCAGATTTTACTAATTTGGCGGCTGCTTTCTTACATTGCAAAGTGGGTCAACTACCTTTCAAGCATTTGGGCTTACCTCTTGGTGCTAATCCTAGGAAGTTGTATACTTGGAAGCCAATGCTTGATAGCCTTCGAAAGCGTCTATCCTCTTGGAAGTATAAGCATTTATCCATTGGAGGGAGAGTGACCTTAATTAATTCGGTTTTGAATGCTATTCCAATTCATTTTCTCTCATTTTTTAAAGCTCCAAACTTGGTTATTAAGGAAATTGTGGCTATCCAACGTGATTTCTTGTGGAGAGGTGTCAAGGATGGCTCAAAGATTCCTTGGGTTAAATGGGAAACAGTGTGTAAGTCTAAGGTGGAGGGTGGACTAGGTATAAAAGATGTTAGATTGTTCAATTGGGCACTCCTAGGGAAATGGGTGTGGAGGTGCATGCAATCTCCGGGTATGTTGTGGGCAAAAGTTCTCCATCATAGGTATGGTCGTATTGAGTCTTTTTCAAATTGCTCAAATGTGGATAGGAAGGCATCTTGGTGGTGGAAGGATATAGTGTGGGTGCTACATCAAGGGAATTATTGGTTGGACGAAAAGATTGAACGTTGTATTGGTGATGGTACTATGACCCGATTTTGGGAGGATAAGTGGATAGGTGGTTTGCGCTTGTTGGAAGTATTTCCTCGGTTGTTCTCCTTTGCCTTAGACCCATTGTCAGTGGTGGCAGATAATGGAACTTGGGAGGGATCTACATGGGTGTGGCAGGTTAAGTGGAGAAGAGAACCTTTTGTCCATGAAGGTAGGAGTGTGAATATCTTGTTGGATATGCTTAAGGGCTTGCAAGTTATCTCGTCAAGGCAAGATTATTGGAGATGGATTTATGACAAGGACGGTGTATTCTCGGTGAAAAGTGCGTACCTTTGGCTACAAAGATCGGTAGGTGGAGAACTCAGAAACTCTTCGGATTTTCAACTAGTTATAAAAAGACTTTGGAAATGTAAGGCTCCGATCAAGTGTTTGGTCTTTTGTTGGCAAGTGCTATTGAATGCGTTCCCGTGCAAATCATTGTTACAAGTACGTGGTGTGGAGTTGGAAAATAATCTCTGTTCTTTTTGCTCTCTGTTTGTAGAAAATCCTCTTCATCTCTTTCTAATGTGTCCGATGGCTTTTAATACTTGGTTAGCTGTTGCTAAGTGGTTGGAGGTTACGGTGGTGTTCCCCAATTCTATAACTTCTCATTATTTATATTGGACGAATCTTGGCATATATGAAAAACATTCTCAATTATTGCGAGTAGTCTGGGTTTCTGTCATTTGGTCCCTATGGCTTCATCGAAATGTTATTATCTTTCAGCAAGGTACTATAGATGCCAAGGAAGTGTTGGATAATATTAAATTGCGTTCATGGAAGTGGATAAATTGTTCTATCCCTGTTTGTTCTTTTAGTTACTCAACTTGGTATAATAACCCAACATTGTATTTCTTATAGTTTCTATTTTAGATTTTAGACTAATTTTGTATCTGTATCTCTTGTAACGGGTTGGAGTACCCCTTGTACTCCTTTTAATATTAATCTCTTTTGCTTATCAAAAAAAAAATATAAGAAATTATTAGAGTTTAATGTATTGAATTTTATCACGATTTCTTGACGTTTCCGAATTTAGTTACGCATGCACCAAAATAAAACGAACGACAATTGTTTGCACGATCTTCTTTCTTGATAATGTTCTTAAACTTTCCAATTTTAGTTACCTACGCATGCAACAAAATAGAAAGCACTTTCTGCCTGCATTATATTAAAAGGAAAATAAGTAAATAAATAAAAAATGAAAAGTTAGTCATAAAAAATATAATTATTAAAAAATAAATAAAGGATAAAATAGTTCATGTAAAAATAGAAACTAAAAATAGTTATTAAAAGTGATATCTCCTTTATATATTAGTATTAGTATAGATTCATTAGTTTCAAGTTCTTAATTTCATTA